TATATATTGTCAATATGTAAAATATATTTCAAAATGACCAATAATTTGCTTGGAAACAGAGAAAAAAGCGTTTAGTTGAAGAGTCTCAAGCAAGATGTTACCTCCATGAAAACAGAGAGAGACTAACTCCTGTTTGCTGTGTTAAGAGGCTGGATGCCGCGCATTAAACTAGTCACTTTACCTTCAATTATGTTCAATAATTGTTAAAATGACTAAAAAATTGAATATTAAACTTTTAAAATTATTGAATAGTATAAACTTCTTGATATTTACTAAAATAGTAAGGAATTTAAGCCCTAGAACCGATTAATGTATTGGCGGACTGATACTAAAGCTGGTTGCCCGGTCAGTGCAAGCGAAAACATGTTGAGGTCGGTTCGTAAGAACTTCGTTAACCGAATTTTTTTTCGTTAACCGAATTGAAGATCCTTATGGAAGGCAGTTCGTTAATCGAAATTACGTTAACCGAGGTGTTCGTTAAACGAGGGGTCACTGTATAGTGATTTAAGGGCGATTTAGGAGTGTTTCTGACTTTGCACGAGGTCCCAGGAACGTAACCCTCGTGTAAGTTGCGAGTCTACTGTATACAGGTAGTACCTCTCTAGTCCGGCATTCTGTGGTCCGGAACGATTTTAGTTTGTCCAATAGGTAGATAGGCAGCTTTTTTTTTTTTTTTTTTTTTTATCTGAATTATTTTATTATTACAGGAGTATTAAATTTTTGCCCCTCAGGCCCCAATGTGGGTCAGTGACCTATGCCCGGGTGGGCTAATCCCCGTAAAAAAAAAACAAAGCCGCGGGAAATTAAGGTTTGTTTACATCTGGCAGTTCAGCTGCTCTCTCTGCCTGCCTGCCTGCCTGCTTGTCTATACAGAGTACAACATTTAACCCTTCAATATATATGAGCAGTAAATAAGTGTTGCTTTCATATTCTTGTGTAGAGTAATGACAATATGTTTTCACATGTGCGCACTAACATACGCGCAGTCTCACTTTTTTTTTTACCATTAATGGTTAGCTACTTATATTGTTCCATTTATTAACATTAAATAACATTACAGGTACTACAAACAACCATATTAATTTTTTTACGTTAATTTTACTACAGCTACAATCAGGGTCTTATTTCTTCAGTTTTATATGTAGAACCAATCAGTCACTAGTTTTGTAAACTTTAACATAAACAATGCCGGCAGCTGTCTCATCTTCTCGTGTGTTTTAATATTCCACGTATTATTAATAAATTGTATTGTTAATTTTGCACACACAAACATTAATTCAATAAAAACAAATTCAGAAACATTAATTAAAATATATATGAACAGTAAATAAGTGTTGCTTTCATATTCTTATGTAAAGTAATGACAATATGTTTTCACGTGTGCGCACTTACATACGCTATCTCTCTTTTTTTCTTTACCATTATCGATAGCTACTTCTATTGTTCCAGTTATTAACATTAAATAACATTACAGTTGTACCCCGATTTTACTTACGCGGTCAATTGAACCCACAGGGTACCGCGGAAAGTGAAAACCGCGTAAAGTGAACAACAGAACATATGGGATTAATTCCAATAGAGACTGGCCCGACCCCCAAACTCCACTTTTTCCGACACAATACCTATGTTGTAGTAAAAATAACATTTAAATTTTATGATGGTATGCTCACACAATTAATATTTAAGAGAAATACAGTCGCCAGGTTAATGTCCATTCAAATAATGAACTCAAATCCCCCCCTCCCTCTTCCCAGCTCACTGGCCCCTACCTCTCTGAGAAATGATTGGGTGAAACACTAGATTTTAAGGTTTAGTAATAAATAATACCTCAGACTAAAGTTAGGATAATACAATTGACATTTCTGGATTCCTTGCAGGTCAGGGAATATTTTGAATGTAAACTTCATATATTTTGCACAAAAGATAAAATATTTGCTTTGTGTAAACCAAATTATTACATTAGATGTAAAATCTGTATGTCTAATGCAAAATCCATGATGTTTATATTCAAAATGATCATCATATTGTAAGAATTCCAGCAATGTAAATTATATTCTGGTCCAGTAATTTGTATGAATTTTATGAGCTAAAACAAATATCTTCAGTTAATAATAAAAAAAAATATTCTTCACGACACTATCTGTCAATCAAAGTACCCCAACTTGCCTCTCCCCTTCTTCCAACCGTGCCAGATGGTCGGTCCCAACCCTCCCCCCCACCCCCCACCTTCCCTCCCTACCAGAGAAATTTTGGGTGAAAGAACTACATTTTAACTTTTAGTAATAAATAATACGTCAGACTAAAATTAGGATAATATAATTGACATTTCTGGATTCCTTGCAGGTCGGAGAATATTTTTAATGTAAACGTCATATATTTTGCACAAAAGATAACATATTTACTCAGAGTAAACAAAATACTTAGAGAGATCTAAAATTTGTATGTCTAATGCAAAATCTATGATGTTTATATTCAAAATGATCATCGAATTGTAAGAATTCCAGCAATGTAAATTATATTCTGGCCGGGTAATTTGTATGAATTTTATGAGCTAAAACAAATATCTTCAGTTAATAAAAAAAAATATATATTCTTCACACACTATATGTCAAAGTACCCCTCCTTGCCTCCCCCCCTCTTCCAACCGTGCCAGATGGTCGGTCGGTCCCTCTCTCCCCCCCACCCCCCACCAACCCTCCCTACCAGAGAAGCTATGGGAGAAAATAGTAATTTACATTTTTAGTAATAAATAATAACTCAGACTAAAGTTAGGATAATATAATTGACATTTCTGGATTCCTTGCAGGTCAGGGAATATTTTGAATGTAAACTTCATATATTTTGCACAAAAGATAAAATACTTAATTTGTGTAAACCAAATTATTACATTAGATCTAAAATTTGTATGTCTAATGCAAAATCCATGATGTTTATATTCAAAATGATCATCATATTGTAAGAATTCCAGCAATGTAAATTATATTCTGGCTGGGTAATTTGTATGAATTTTATGAGCTAAATAAAAAAAAAAAAAAAATTGTACTTCACGCGTATATGAGTAGATGCACCCTTGGAAAGTGAAAGTCCGGTTCTGGCAAGGTACCGCGTAAATGAGAAATCAGAAATCGCGGAAAGTGAAACCGTGTAAAGCGGGGTAATACTGTACATAAAACAACCATATTAATTTTACTACAGCTACAACCAGGGTCTTATTTTCTTCAGTTTTATATGTAGAACCAGTCAGTCACTGGTTTTGTAATCAACGAAAACAATGCTGTCTCCTTTCCTCGTGTTTTAATATTCTACGTATTATTAATGAATTGTATTGCTGAATTTGCACACACAAACATTAATTCAATCAAAAAGACTTTCAGTAATAAACAATAATGAATCTTTTGTACATAAGAGAAATGACGCTGTTTACACGATTGTGCACATCGTCTGAACGTTGGTGGGCCGTTCAAACCCGTCGAAATTCGAGTTTCCGCCTTCAAAATTTTTAAATGTGTTTTTTTTGTGTGTGTGTGTTTAACTAGAAAACGTCGAATTAAAAACTCGCGAAATTTGAGAAGCTACTGTACGACATTTAACCCTTCAATATGTCTTCAAAGAGACCATGAAGCAGAGAAAGTGGTGCTAGTGCTTCCAAGCATAAGCACAAGTCACTATCTATCCAGGAAAAGGGTGAATTTCCATGGTCCGGCACCGGTCAGGTCCCGAGGTTGCCAGACTAGAGAGGTACAACATGTATTAGAAAATTTTGATAATTTTGGTAGTAGTGATAAATTTGAAATATTTCCTGCACGATTTCCCTCGCGAAATTAAAAAATCATCGCTATATTTAGGAAAATGTTGATAATTTTGGTAGCCGCTATATAAAAATATCGTCATATAAAGTCGCTGTATATCCCGACCCTACTGTATTGTGAACAAGGATTGCTGAAAAAGAACATTTCTCATCACCCCTCTGCAGACATCCATGCAGTATACATGTACAGTTAACCCTCACTTTACGCGGTTAATGTAACCCGGAGGGTCCCGCGTAAAGTGAGAAACGCGTAAAGTGAATAACATAACATATGGGATTAATTGAAATGGAGTCCGGGCCGATCCCCAAACTCCACTTTTTGATGACACACAACTATGTTGTGGTAAAAATATTATCTTAACTTTATGATGGTATGCACACACAATTAATAATTAAGAGAAATATCAATAATATTAGGTTTTTTAACACTTACATTAGTAGAAAAAATGGCTGGGCACACGGGGATGGGCGGTTGGTTCCGAGGCAGAGGGCAGATTATTGGCCCTCACCTGTGTCACTTGTATCAATTGTATCACTATCCACCACAGAGGCTTGCAGGGCCTCTTTGTCAAACTCCCCAAAGTCCATATAAGTCCATATCCTCACCATAATTATCACTATCACTGACTTGGGCCGGCTGTGGTGGGTGGCGGGTGAAGAACTGGTAATGTTTTGATGACTGGGCGACCTTGTGCGCACCATGTTCGCGCAGCTTACACAACATGGCGGATGGCGGGAGGTTTGGATCCAAAAATGGCGCGGCTCGCCAGCCGCTCTCCGCGTAAAGGGGTACACGCACCGCGGAATGTGAGCATCCTGGGTTCCGGCAGGGCACCGCGTAAACGTGGAAACGCGGAATGTGGGACCGCGTAAAGTGAGGGTTAACTGTACTATATTTTAAAAAGGGGAGTCAGAGTGTTAGATATGAGTAGAAGGAGATACTGTATCTTAGAGAGGGTCCAGAGTTTTAAGTATGGCTAAAATATACTAGCATTGACAGAAATTAATGCAGATAATATCAGAAAAAGTTTTGAAAAACAGACAGGTTACAAAAGCTGTGAAGAAAGTACAGTACAGGTAATATGTATGGATTTGAGTTTAGAAGTGTGGTTAAACCTGCTAGAAACCTCCAAGCCACTACAGGATTATATTGAACATTTTTCTTTTTCTAAGATAATTGTCTTTTCAACAGATCCTGATGGCTGGGAGTCAAGATATAAAGAAATTTCAAGATCAGCTCATGGGAGTACTAAAGGATGATGTTAACCTCAGTCTTGTTGACACAGATCCAGACTCTGCAGTCCTCTATTTTCAAGCAGGAGCACTGCTTGGCGACCCCTCATCTGCTTTCAACCTTGCTCTCTGTTATCATCTAGGCCGTGGTGTCACTCAGGACTTCAAGATGGTAAATGTTTGACTTTTATTTAGTTTAATATTATTTTTATGAGAATCTTAGAACCTCAGGGAGATGCTACATACCAGTAGTTAGATGTGGAGTTACAGGTATATTATGTTTGTCACAATACTTGACAAAGAGTTATCAAGATTTTTTTTATGCCTTAATCTCATTAAGGTTGGTATTTTAGTTCTTTATTTTAGTGCATATGTTGAGGACCTTTTGAGAACAGTCACTCATGAGAAATGAGTAATGAAAGGATAAGGATTAATAATAATCACACTGGGTGTAAACAAAGTTGTCTAAAGATTATTTAAAACAAAAAATTTAATGGAAAATAAATAAAAAATGCTAGAAATAATGAAAACACCCAGAAATGTTAAATTGTTGATAATTTTTGCTGTACAGTAGAACCTTGATAAGCCTGGAATATGTGAGTCCCAAAAAAGCAAATCTATGGGGGTCCACACACAACTCTGCTTGTCTGGACTGTTTCTGGAAAATTGTACAAAAGTCTGATAGTCAATAACTGTTTTCACTGATATGACTGTTTTGTACTGTAAAGTGTTTACCCACAGTATAGATAGTAGAAGTGCTTCTCCATGTGGTGAATGAAAAATCCTTACGGTGAGTCATTAAACTGTAATCATGTCTTAACACATGTGATGGAGGTTGGGTGGGAGATTATTGGGTCATGTTACTAACCTGGCCTGATGCAATGTCAGGTCACTCATTGTCTTATGGCCTGAAGATGTCTTGAATGACATTATTTTTTACCTATGAGGTATGTACAGTAAGTCCTTGTTTAACGTTGTCCCAGACAACGATGTTTCGTTATAATGTCGCAACTCTTCAGATACCCATGATTCCGACAACGTCCCGACCGATTCGTTATAACGTTGCCACCTAACACAGACTACTTTGTATGGCGTATCACCCTCTCTCATCTTGGCGCTCTACTCTCTCTCGCAGAGCGTCACAGTGTCCCCAGTCTTTGTTAGGCTTCCACAGCGTACGTGCATGCTTAAATGTTTTTCAAATAAATACTGTATTGTAACCATTTGAAATGTTTTCCAAGCGCCCATCAAGTGTTAGTGATGCTAGTGTTGTGAAGAAGCAAAGCAAAACAATTAGCCTTGCTACGAAAATGGAGGTTTTAAACCGTTTTGAGAAAGGTGATTATGCTGTAGACATTGGTGGTCTAACCACCACAACAGTGCGCACTATCCGGACCAGCACAGACAAGATACAGGCTAGTGCTGGAAGTGGTACTTCTATGAGTGCAACAAAGACAAGTTGTGCTCGAAGTTCCGTGATTGAGAAGATGGAGAAGATGCTAGCTATGCGGATTGAGGACCAGAATCAAAGCAATGCCTTTGTGAGCCCAATGGTTATCCAGCATAAAGCAAAATTCTTGTATGACATCTTAAAGGCCCTAGAGAGTGAAGGATCGAAGGATGAGAATTTTCCGGCCAGCCGAGGATGGTTTCAACATTTTAAGCATCGTTATAACTTCCACAATATTAAGATGATTGGTGAAGCCGCTAGTTCAGAAACGGTTGCTGCCGAGATATTCCCGCCTGACTTAAAGAACATTTTCGTGGAAGGAGGCTACTCAGCGAAGCAAGTCTTCAATGTGGATGAGTCCGGTCTCTCTTGGAAGAGGATGCCCGAACGAACTTATATCTCCAAGGAAGAAAAAAGAGCGCCAGGATTTAAAACAGCAAAAGACCACTTGACGCTGCTGCTTGGTGCAAATGCTGCTGGCAACTTCAAGCTTAAGCCCATGTTAATTGCTCACTCTCCCAGTCCACATGCCCTGAAAGGTTACTCTAAGGATCACCTTCCTGTCATTTACAAGGCAAATAAGAAGGCATGGATAACCAGCGCCATATTTATCCAGTGGTTAAATGTGTACTACGTACCTGCATCCTTCCAATCTCGACGATTTTCGAGTTGTATTTCTGCCTGCCAACATAACAGCATTGATGCAGCCTATAGACCAAGGCGTTATCACCGCATTCAAGGCCTATTATTTTTGGCGTACTATGGACCAACTTCTCAAGGCTACTGATGGAAAAAATAAGCCTACAATCCAAGAATATTGGCAGGGCTGCAATATTCTTCATGCAATCGACAATATTGGCAAGGCATGGTAAGAAGTTTCAGAAAGTAGCCTGAATGGTGTTTGGCGTAAATTATGGCACGAGTGCGTGAACAGCTTTACGGGATTCATGGACTTAGTCCCAACTCTGAATAGGGATATTCTCAGTTTGGCTAGACAGGCAGGCTTTCCTGAGTTGGAATCTGATAATATTGAGCAAGTCCTGGCATCCCATACAGAAGAGCTTACAAATGAAGATCTGCAACTGCTAACAGAACAAAGTGCCGCTGAAGACGCCGACGATGAAGAAGAACCACAACGAACGCAATGCAAATCTACACTGATGACGACCCAAACAGAGAACGTAGCTCAAAAATTGTCTGCAACATGGAGGAAACTTTTCGGTGTTTTAATGAGATCTACTAGGTCAAAAAGAAGAGGAGCACTAAGCAGTCAATCCTGGATTCTTTTTTCGTCATTAGGAGGCAGAAGCAACATCTTTACAACAGCCTGCAAGGGAGGAGGAGCAAACAGCAGCCGAGGGGGGAACCCCAGCCAGAGCGGGAAGGGGAGCCCCCTCCGGGTCTCAGTGACTCGTCACCCTCCTCCTCTCCACTACCCACCACTTCCCCCTCTCCTTCCCTTCCTCACAGCATTCGTTATAAACTTCTATATGTGTTAGAGAGATGAATTTGATACCATAATAATCCTGAATAAATTCTCTGAGATGTTTCCATTATGATATCCTTAAATGACAAGCCAAATAATAAGGTAAAAATAAGTATTTTACTGTTTTTTTTTTTTTTTACAATTAGCCCACCCAGGCACAGATCACTGACCCACATCGGGGCCTGGGGGGCGAATATGTAATAATAATAAAATAATAATAATAAAGAACCACAAAGAAATACAAAATTAAAAAAAAATCAAAAGTGAGGAACAATATATGTATGTTGTGTTGTCAATAGTAAGGGAAACAATTGAGACCCTGCAATTGGGTGTAAATGAGGCAGAAAGTCAGATCAGCAACCTGGGACTTGGTCACAATTTTCATGATGCCATGTGGCAGCAAGATCTACCACAGACAACACATTATGCTTCCAATATCTTCCCAGGCGGTAGTACCTCCCTGTTTGGTAGCTGCCTAATACCTACTACCATCAAAGGTACTGGTATTAATAAGTTCAAATTATTAGTTTCTATCCCCAAGGGTCTCCTTGACCACCAGTCTCTATGTATAGAACTAAACAAAGAAATTATTTGAAATACTCTGTAACATTCAATACCATAATATTCTGACCACAGGTTACCGTATTTTTCGGCTTGGAAGACGCTGTATTGTGGAAGACGCACCCTGATTTTGGAAACAAAATTCTAAAAAAAAATAAAATTACGGGTTTTAGCCCACCTGGACACAGGTCACTGACCCACATTGGGACCTAGGGGCGAAAATGTAATAATAATAATAATAATAATAATAATAATAATAATAATAATAATAATAATAATAATAATAATAATGATAATAAAGAAATACAAAAATAAAAAAAAAATATCAAGAGTGAGAAACAATATACCTGTATGTATGTTGTGTTGTCAAAGTAAGAGAAACAATTGAGACCCTGCAGAAAGTCAGATCATCAACCTGGGACTTGGTCACATAGCAGCAGGGTCTACCATTAGACAATACATTATGCTTCCAATATTTTCCCAGACGGTAGTGCCTCCTTGTTTGGTACATTAGCTGCCTACTACCTACACCAGTGTAACCGTTGCTTGATATACAGCCCTTTTGGCACAAGTACACACACACCTCTTTGAATATCATCACTTAGAACTGCTTATCAGTCGTCATTTTCATCAATTTAAAAAAACAATCTGTATAAGAAGGTGAAATCTTTAATACAGCACTCATTTTATACACCTGGTCACCTCCACATCTTAGGAGCTGTAGTGTTTACATTCATTCTCTTGTTTTTGTCGGTATGACAACGACGGGAAATATTTTCCAACAGTAGAAGGTAAGGAAATGTAAACATGTATATCAACGTCTATATAAAACAAAAAATCTTTATTTAAAAACAAATTAAAGGTAAAAAAACAACTCGTTTTTTGCAAAACCAGTGACTGATTGGTCCTACATAATTATAAAACTGAAGAAAATAAGTCCTCCATTGTAGCTGTATTAAAATTAATGTAGAAAAATTAATATGGTTGTTTTAAGTAATGTTATTTAATGTTAATAAATGGAACAATGGAAGTAGCTAACAATTAAGGGTGAAAAAAAAGAGAGATCGTGTATGTAAGTGAGCACATGTGTAAACATATCGTCATTACTCTACATAAGAATATGAAAGCAACACTTATTTACTGTTCATATATGTTTTAATTAATGTTTCTAAATTTCTTTTTGATTGAATTATTGTTTATGTGTGCAAATTGAACAATACAATTCATTGATAATATGAAAAATATTAAAACACGTCCTTGTTTTTGTTGTTTACAAAACCAGTGACTGATTGGTTCTACATATGTAACCAAGTCCCAGGTTGATGATCTGACTTTCTGCAGGGTCTCAATTGTTTCTCTTACTTTGACAACACAACATACATACAGGTATATTGTTTCTCACTCTTGATATTTTTTTTCATTTTTGTATTTCTTTATTATTATTATTATTATTATTATTATTATTATTATTATTATTATTATTATTATTATTATTATTACATTTTTGCCCTCTAGGCCCCAATGTGGGCCAGTGACCTGTGCCCAGGTGGGCTAAAACCCGTAATTTTTTTTTTAGAAATTTCATTTCCAAAATCAGGGTGCGTCTTCCACGATGCAGCGTCTTCCAAGCCGAAAAATACGGTATTCCTTTTATGTGTTTGGCCTTAAGACAATTATTTATTTTACCTGTATTGTATATGTGTGTGTGTGTGTGTGTGTGTACACAAACACACACACACACACACACACACACACACACAAAACACATACAAATAAATAATAATGGGAAAATACTCTCACAAATAATCAGAAAAAAATTATTAAAAATGTGAGTCTACCCTCAAGTCCATGCTTTAATAAATAATGCATGGACTTGAGGGTAGACTGTCACATTTTAAAAAAATGATTATTTGTGAGAGTATTTTCCCATTATTATTTATTTGTATGTGTTTTGTGTGTGTGTGTGTGTGTGTGTGTCTACACACACACACATATTTACAATACAGGTAAAGGAAATTACTGTCTCTAAAACTAATGGCTCCTTTTCCAGCCGCAAAAATGCCAGCAACTTTAAAACTACCCACAGACATTCTTGGGTACATCCAGAGTGTCATTCACGAATAATAGAGGACCGCGAATTTGGGGTGGGGGGGGCTGGGTTTTTTTTTTAATGCTCCTGATTTTCAACCTTGGAATTTGTTCCCAGACCTGGAATTTTGGGATTTTCATGACAAATTTTGAGCAAATTTCAATACCGGCAATTGGAAAGTTCTGGGTTTGAGGGATTCCGGCTAACGGAGATATTACTTATTATATTCTCGTACGGTCAGCCTCTTATGGTGTATGTATCATTATGAATAATATAAAATATTGAATAATAGAAAAAATATGATACTGTATATGATTTGTAATCTGTCTTAAAAATGATGGAGACTGAGATGGACTGTGTGTGAGACATGGATGATGTTTTTTTTGTTTTTTTTGTTTTTTTTACGGGGATTAGCCCACCCGGGCACAGGCACTGACCCACATCAGGGCCTGGGGGTGAAAATGTAGTAATAATAATAATAATAATAATAATAATAAAGAACCATAAAGAAATACAGAAATGAAAAAAAGATCAAGAGTGAGAAACAATATATGTATGTTGTGTTTTCAATGGTAAGAGAAACAATTGAGACCCTGCAATTGTATGTAAATGAGGCAGAAAGTCAGATCAGCAACCTGGGACATTGTCACAATTTTCGTGATGCCATATGGCAGCAGAGTCTACCATTAGACAATACAATATGCTTCCAATATCTTACCAGGCTGTAGTACCTCCCTGTTTGATAGCTGCTCGTCTGCTGCTCTCTTCCTTGGAGGATTACCATCACCATTGTTTGAATTACTTTACCTAAAATCTTACCATTCTTCTGTGACTGAATGTCTGTTGAACTTAAAGCTAACCAATCACAGTGCAGCATTATGGGCAATAAACTGGGTGTTGGAATACACTGCTCACTCATGGGTCCAAGAAGAGGAGAGCCCTCAAGGAATCGCTTGCTGTCGGTAATTTTAAATTACAAATATTTAAGGGTTCAGGCAAATGTTTCTTACCCAGGAAGAGTCTGGACTACAAGGTCCAGACTTTTGAGGGTTTACTGTATACGGTACGATGTTATACTAATGAAAAAGACACAGGCAGGCAGGGGAAGCTATATCATTATAGTTATGCAGTACAGGTATACAGTATAGTACAATACTGTAAAATGATACCATACTGATAGTGATTTCCAGACTTAACTTATTCTAGTTCTTATATGTTTGATTAGTGCCACTCTACAGTGGTGGGTACAAGTGAATCAAGGGAAGTTGATCAAATATCATTCATGGTACTTTGTTGCTTCCACTGCAACTATTAATTCCTGTTTGAGTAAACCAACTGTATCTGGTGGTTGTTTTGATAAAAATGAAATGATTGTTAAGGTCTCAAAAGTATTTCTTAAAGGGATGTCATGCTATGTCAAGGAATATTTGTTTAAATTTTAGTAAAAAAAAATGGATTCTTCAATACTTCAGGCCCGTGAACTATATGAATCTGCTAGCCTAGCTGGACATGGATGGGCTACCTACAATCTGGCTGTATTGATGAATCAGGGCCAAGGAGGAGCTCGTGATTCTGACCGTACATACAACCTCCTCTTGCAAGCTGGTAAAAGAGGTGTCTCTGAAGCTCAGGAAGTCCTCAAGCAGTTGGAGGAACAAGAGGAGAATGAGCTCTTGGAAGAAAGTAAGTAGGAAAATGATTTTTTTTTTTAATTATAATACTGAACACAATACTGCTTATTTATCTTTTATACCCTTAATTACAAAATTATTGTCCACAGTAATTGAAAAATGCATTAAAGGAGTATGATTAGTTTAACTCTTATACAGTACTGTACTATTCACTTTAATCTAAAAGTATCACATCATCTTCCTTTTGTACAAACTTCTGATATATGCTGCTGCCTTAGAGCATGTACTACTTGGCCATTCTTGCATGTCTTTCCCTCCCACCCCTATAAGAAAAAAATTTCAATTCAGAACCTCAGAAAGTCTTTACTAATTATAAAAAACTGGGTACGATAATTATGAAAAACATCTAATTTGTGTTTTTTTAATCAAGATACAATCAGTAGGTTTGCTGGTGCAGTAATGCCAGGACACTTTTCTGAAGATTATATTCATGAATTCTTGGTGGGTATTGATTTAGAGAGACCATATAATATACAATATATATATACTGTATATATATATATATATATATATATATATATATATATATATATATATATATATATATATATATATATATATATATATATATATATATATATATATATATATATATATATATATATTATATATATATATATATATATATATATATATATATATATATATATATATATATATATATATATATATATATATATATATATATATATATATACACACACACTTGTACCCCGCTTAACGCGGTTTCACTTAACGCGATTTCTCATATACGCGGTGCCTCGCCGGAACCGAAGTTTCACTTAACGCGGTACATCTACTCATATACGCGGTGAAGTATAATATATATTTTTTTTTATTTAGCTCATAAAATTCATACAAATTACCCGGCCAGAATATAATTTACATTGCTGGAATTCTTACAATATGATGATCATTTTGAATATAAACCTCATAGATTTTGCATTAGACATACAAATTTTAGATATAATGTTTACTCTGAGTAAATATGTTATCTTTTGTGCAAAATATATGACATTTATATTCAAAATATTCCTGGTCTTACAAGGAATCCAGCAATGTCAATTATATTATCCTAACTTTAGTTTGAGGTATTATTTATTACTATACAGTACCTTAAAATCTAGTGGTTTTCCCCCAAACATTTCTCAGAGAGGGAAGAGCCAGGAGTGTGAGAAGAGGGGGAGGGAGTTGAGTCCATTATTTGAATGGACATTAACTTGGCGACTGTATTTCTCTATTTCTCTTAAGTATTAATTGTGTGCATGTACCATCATAAAATTAAGATGTTATTTTTACTAGAACATAGGTATTGTGTCGGAAATAGTGGAGTTTGGGGATCAGCCGGTCTCTGTTTCATTTAATCCCATATGTTATGTTGTTCACTTTACGCGTTTCTCGCTTTACGTGGGCCTCCGTGGGTTCAATTCATCGCGTAAAGTGAGGGTTCACTGTATTAACTCTTAAGCCCCGAATTAGGGTGCTGCTGGCAGTACCCCCACCCCCCTCCATAGGGTTAAATCGTAAAAAAAAAAAAAATTCCAAAAATAATAATTAAGAAAAAAGGCAGGAAAATGGGCAGACGTTTTGGAATGTCACCCGGGGTGCGTTAGTCGGACGTTCTGAAACGTCACCCGGAGCCTAAGGGTTAAAGTCCGATTTTTTATCAATGTTTTACTGTATTGATGTCCGATTTATTGAGGTTGTACTGTATTATTATAAATTTCATTTACTATACTGTATATCATTTTTTCATAATTTTAATTTTTTATTAATTTTGTTTTCATTTATTATTTTATTTTATTTATTTATTTTTATTTTTTTATACTGTACAGTAATATCTCCATTAGCCGTCATCCTTCAAACCTGGAACTTTCCTATAGCTGGAATTGAAATTTTCTCGGAAAATCGTTCCCAAAGATGGAATTTTCTGGAAAATTCCGCCTCTGGGAACGATTTTCCGAGGGGCATGTTTCCAGAAAATTCCTAGAAATTTTTCCTGATACCCAGAAAATTCTGGGGATAGGGAAGTTTTTTTCAGGTTTGAGAGATGAAAAAATCAAGCACGCTTTCTGGAAATTGTAGGAAAAATTTTCCGCTACTTGAAAAATTCCGGGGATGTGGGATATTTTTCCTGGTTCGAGATATGATTGAATGGGCAATTTCTGGAATTTCCAAGAACATTTTTCCATTACCCGGAAAATTCCGGGGATGAGGGATTTTTTTTCGGCTTTGAGAGAGTCGTCTTGCTACCCGGAAATCTCTCATTCCTGGAAGTGCTATGCACCAATTGTTCTGGGTAACGGGGATACCACTGTGTATATATGTATATATATATATATATATATATATATATATATATATATATATATATATATATATATATATATATATATATATATATATATATATATATATATATATATATATATATATATACAGTACTCCCTCTTTATCGACGGATTTTTTATAGACGGTTTCGATTATCGACGGATTATTTAGCCGGATTTTTATTTTGAAATGTGCTTGATATAATCCATTCACGGAAATGTAATATTTTTGCTAAAATGACGTATGTATTACAGTGGAAAGTGGGATCAAATCGTGACGAAAACAATGACTTGCGCTTTCTTTCGTTCAAAAGATGTTACCGTAATCACTTTTCGAATGGTTTAGTTAAAAAACTGTTGTATTGTATTACAATAATATCCTAATTGACTTGAATAAATATTACGATACCATATTTCTGAATATTTTCATTAAAATCCATCAAAATCATTTTCTTTGTCATCGTCTGCAGCACCACACAGCTTCTCCCAGTCCTCTCCTTGAACAGGGCTACAGGGTACACGTGTTTTTCGAATCGTTTTCAGTTAAAAAATTATTACATCACACGTATATTTTACCTAAACTGCGCCTGAATGAATATATTCTCGGAAATAAATAGTAGTTTTGCTGAAACGTGACGTATTTCAATGTAAAATAGGATAAAATACATGACGAAAACAAAAGACTTTACCTAACCTTCCAATGTTCTTGAGATGTTACTCGTTTTTTTAATAGTTTTCGGTTAAAATTCTGTTATATTACAATGATATTCTATTCATACTGTGCTTGATATAATCCATTCACGGAAATGTAATATTTTTGCTAAAATGACGTATGTATTACAGTGGAAAGTGGGATCAAATCGTGACGAAAACAATGACTTGCGCTTTCTTTCGTTCAAAAGATGTTACCGTAATCACTTTTCGAATGGTTTAGTTAAAAAACTGTTGTATTACAATAATATTCCCTCCTAATTGACTTGAATAAATACTTGAATGGAAATATACAATATTTTTGTTGAAACTACCCGCGTTTCAGTGTAAAGTGTTGTAATAATAAATGGTAAACAATTTGCCTTGGGCATCTGGATTTTTGGACTTTTACTGTACTGTACACTGTTTTGTTTACTGTAAGGACCGATGTTCACTTCAATAAATGAAATCGTAAGTTTGCTAGTATTTTTGTCCACTTATTATATTATTATTTATACACTATTATTTAAGGTTATGCGTAAAGGAAACGCATTAATGCTTAAAGGTACATTTATTCAACATATGCTAATAATAGTTAGAAAAATTACGTAACCATCACAGTATCGACGGTTTCTTTATCGACGGCCGTTTACAGAACGTAACCCCCGTCGATAAAGAGGGAGTACTGTATATATATATATATATACAGCTAGGACCCGACTTCGACTTCCGACATAAGATAATTTTTTTTTTTTTTTTCAATTTAAAAAATCTACAATGAAATACAGTACTGTACAGTAAAAGTAAAAAATAATGAGGAATGGATACAGTACAGTGAAAGTAATAAATAATGAGGAATGGATACAGTGTGACTGAGCACTTACCTTTAATGTAGTCAGCTGAATGCACATGGGGCCCCCATAATTTTCTAATTATACATGGAGACTACATTAACTGGAAACGTTTCGGTATAGAAAATATGTGTTATTTGAAAAAAAATATAAAAATTTTAATAAAAATCTCACGGCGGTGCGTAATCCCGGCAGTCGTGGCTCATGCTTGAGTGATCGTCGAGGTCTGGCTGTATATATATACAGGTGCTCCCTGAGGCTTCGTGAGTTAAGGACAATCCAGGTCATCAGAATCCGATTGGTCATTAAGTCCGACATGGGATTAGGGACCCAAATCCAGGTCGTAAGTCCGATTGGTCGTAAGTCCGACATAGATAAAAAAATAAAATAAAATAATTAAATTTTTTTTTTCAACATTTAAAAAAATAAAAAATATACAATGAAATACAGTACAGTAAAAGTAATAAATAATGAGGAATGGATACAGTGTGACTGAGCACTTACCTTTAATGTAGTCAGCTGAATGCACACGGGGCCCCCATAATTTTCTATTTACAGGATACATGGAGACTATATTAATTGGAAGAAGCAGAGGAGGAGACAGGGCTGGGTGGGTCGTCAATGTCGCTTTCTTCAGACAGGTTTACGTACTGTGGAAACTTGCTGGTTGAAGGTATTGGATCATCTTGAGGGAGTGAAGAGGCAGCATTGGTTGGGCGTGAGGAGACAGCACTGGGGGGACTTCTTAAAATAGATGTCCAATTTAGACTGCACAGTTTGTTTTTTCTTTTCATTATAAATTTCTCTGTAGCAAGCAAGTGCATCTTGGATCATTCTGTCAACTTTGGCATAACGCTCATAATTTTGATCCATGCCATCAAACATTTGCATTCCTTTATTAATTGTAGCAAATGCCTCTGCCATTTGTTTCACTGAAAACTTTTTGGGGGGGTGCAGGTTCTTCTACATTTTGTCTCTCTTCTTCCTCTGCAATTTTCTGTGCATCTAGTTCAATAAGATCCTCGTTACTGAGCTCTTCTGCTACACTTTCAACCAACTGTTCAACATCTTCATTATCAATTTCTAACTCCAGCTGTTTACCTAACTCCACTATCTTGTTACTAATATCCGAAATAACTTCATTTTCATTAAATCCTTTGAAACTGTTCACATATCTTTTCAGGATTTTCTTCCATATTCCATTCATGCAATGTTTTGTAACCTGATCCCATGCTGCACTAATGCTCTTTATACATGACAAAACGTTGTACTCCTTCCAAAACTCTCTGAGCATTTTCTCACCTTCAGTAGCAGCAACAGCCTGAGCGAAGGTCGTGCGTAAATAATACGCTTTAAAGGCAGCCATAGCACCTTGATCCATGGGTTGGATGATAGAGGTAGTGTTAGGTGGAATGTAGACTACCTTAACATCAGGGTGCATGTCGTCCAGGAGTGGTGGGTGTCCCGGAGCATTATCCAAAATCAGCAAAATCTTGAATGGAATCTGTTGTTGCAGACAATACTCTTTGGCTCATGGAATGAAACAAGTCATGAACTCCTCAAACAGTGCTCAGGTCATCCAGGCTTTCTTATTACTGCGATAAAACACTGGCAGTGTGTGCTTGTTGACATGTTTAAAAGCTTCTCTGAATGATAGATCATGAAGGGCTTTAGCTTGAAACCAGCAACATTCCCCCCCAACAGAAGTGTAATTCTGTCCTTGAATGCCTTGAATCCTGGCATTGTTTTCGCCTCTTTGTGGATGTATGTCCGTTCAGGCATGCGCTTCCACAATAATCCAGTCTCATCCACATTGAATATTTGCTCAGGCAAATAATTCCCTTCCACAATCACTTCATCTAACTCCTCCTTAAAAGCTTCGGCAGCACCAACATCGGCACTAGCTGCCTTTCCACTCACCTTAACTTTGTGTAGACTGTAGCGTTTTGTAAATCTATCAAACCACCCATGACTTCCTGTAAAGGTTTGATCACATTCATCTCCTGCCTGCTCCTTCAGGCTTTGGAACAGGCTTCTTGCTTTAGCCTGTATGGTTAGAACACTTAAGGGTACATGCTTCTGTATCTGGTCTTCTATCCATATCACCAATAAGTTTTCCATATCGTGAATAGGACCTTGTCTTTTCTTTGAAATTATAGTTCCCTTTATAGGTGTTGTTCCTTTCACTACATCACGAATACATTCCTTGTCCTTCAGAATAGTGGATATAGTCGAGTGTGAGAAACCTAGGTCATGTGAGATTGTTGCTACAGTTTTTCCATTCTCATGCTGCGTTATTATCTTCATTTTCATCCCAAAAGTAATTGTCTGTCTCCCTTTCTTTGGAGCGCCACCAGCACTCTCACTTTTACGCTTTTCAGTCATTATAAAGTCAATTAAATATGATAATAACGAAAGTTCACAGCGCGATCTGTATAGGATACGATAGCCAAACACCAACTAAGCGCTCCACTGAGTGAGTGTACCCACCTGGCGACCCGAGTCGCGCCACGCTCTCGCCCGGGACAGAAATGTTTCGGTATAGAAAATGCGCGCGTCATTTGAAAATATTTTTGGTTACGACTGCCGCGGTCGTATGTCCCGACGGTCGTAAGGTCAGAGCAGGTCGTAAGTACCGATGGACGTAAGTCCAAGCAGTCGTAAGTAGGGGAGCACCTGTATATATATATATATATATATATATATATATATATTATATATATATATATATATATATATATATATATATATATATATATATATATATATATATATATATATATATATATATATATATATATATCATGTAAATCCATATGTATGTATGTATGTATGTATATATATATATATATATATATATATATATATATATATATATATATATATATATATATATATATATATATATATATATATATATATATATATATATATATATATATATATATATATATATATATATATATATATATATATATAATTTTTTTTTTTTTTTTTTTTTGTTCCCTCCGGGCCCTGGTGTGGGTCAGTGACCTGTGCCCGGGTGGGCTAATCCCTGTGAGAAAAAAAATTATAATAATAATGGTTACAGGTTACTTTCAGGGGTAATTAAATCTGACTTATTCCATATATAGTGTGCAGGCAAACCCTGCGATACGGAATGCTGGGTTACGGAAATTTGGCCCAATGTAATTTTGGTAGGATTTTCTAATCTTTCAAACATAAAAATCGCGATATATAACAAAGAAATTCACCAAAATTATAAAATTAATTATGTGTAGATTCTTGGTGGTAGCTACAATATGGTTGGAGGGCTGCTCACTCCCCAGTTACCAGTAACTACCACAACAGGGGCACTGCTCAGTTTGATTTTTTTCCCCAGTTTGTGTTCAGGTGTTCGTCTTTGTTACTGTGTACCCTTTTTCAAGATGAGTGGAAAAGACCATCAAGCTAAGTGAAAGCAGTGGTGATAAAAGATTCTATTAGGGAACTACATTTGACTATAAACATGATGTTTTAAAGAGGTAACTCCCAGTAACTCTGATCACAACACCTCACCACTTCCTGCAACACTCGACATTGTTTCTGGTGAGTTAAATTCAAGTGTGTGCATTTATTGTCTTGTGAATGAATCATTGTTTGTGTCTATTGTCATTTATATACAGTATGTGATTTTGTTACATTTTTGGGCTGCAAAAAATTTCCATAGGAACGCATCTCAAAATATACAGTGAACCCTCACTTTACGCGGTTAATTCAACCCACGGCGGCCCGTGTAAAGTGAACAACATAACATATGGGATTAATTGAAATAGAGACCGGGCCGACCCCCCAAACTCCACTTTTTCAGACACAATACCTACGTTGTAGTTAAAATAACTTCTTAATTTTATGATGGTATGCACACACAATTAATAATTAAGAGAAATATCAATAATATTAGGTTTTTTAACACTTACATTAGTAGAAAAGATGGCTGGGCACACGGGGATGGGGGGTTGGTTCCAAGGCAGAGGGCAGATTATTGGCCCTCACCTGTATCACTTGTATCACTATCCACCACAGAGGTTTGCAGGGCCTCTTTGTCAAACCCCTCAAAGTCCATATAAGTCCATATCCTCACTATCATTATCACTATCACTGACTTGGGCCGGCTGTGGTGGGTGGCGGGTGAAGAACTCGGTAATGTTTTGATGACTGGGCTACCTTGTGCCCACCCTGCTCGCGCCGCTCTCCGTGTAAAAGGGTACACACACCGCGGAAAGTGAGCATTCCGGTTTCGGCAGGGTACCGCGTAAACGTGGAAACGCGTAAAGTGGGACCGCGTAAAGCGAGGGTTGACTGTACTGTATAATGCAAGTCAATGGGAAAAATGGTTTCGCAATATGGAAAGATTTTCAGGAACGGAACCTCTCCGTAACCCGGGGGTTACCTGTGTAAGAAGAAAAGTCTTGTGTTGCTCTTTGTTGTGGTAACCCTGCACAGTAGTGGGAAAGAGCAGTAAGAGGGAGGAGTTGAACACTCCATACTCCTTGCCCCTTTGACTGTATCATAAGATATTTTAGGTCTGTATTGTACAATATTCTGTAATGTTGCAATTTTGCAGGGAAAATGGAAATAATAATTTGAATTTTTTATCGCCTGACTTATAAAAAAAAAGAGAGATTTCTATTTCTGGCATTCAAATTTTCTTGGAAATCATATCGTCTTGAGTAAAACTTGTGATACTGGAAAAAGTTATTTTAAAAATGCTCAGATGTTTCTAATGTGCCCAAACTAATTTAGAAGTACAGTATGTTTATTATACAAAAAGTCATAAAGTATTATATATAGGTATTCAATAATATTGGCTAGTTTTCATTCATAGAAAATAGTAGATTGAATATGAGAGGGGAAACATTGATGACCATGGCATTACTGAAACCGTCACACCCAAAGGGTTAAGTATCTAAAATGCAAGTGATACATATAGACGGTATATAATGGAAGCTTTTTATCATCAAATACTTTTGCAGATTACCTTTATCAATATATCTTCAATGTACTTATAGAATTGTCTGATTCACTTATAAATTCATCTTGCAGGTTCACTCAAGTCTTCTCAGTCAGAACCATCCCTCACATCTGTCTCATCCAGAAAGTGGTCATCGTCATATTCTACGAGTGATCTAGAATTTATGGATGAAACTGATTTATGGGATTCTACGGATTTCTCAACAGATAAAGATTACTCAGAAAGCACAAAAAGCGTCTTTTATCTAGGTTAATGAATCATTATTTAAATTCAGTGCTTTTGTTGTGTATAAGAATTTGGCTATGGTGTTGTGGAGATGATGTACCTGTGAAGTACAAGGTAGTGTGATATTAAATTTACTCAAGTTGATCAGGTTTGAAAAAGAAAATGGAATGAGAACTTTGTAAGGATAAGGGAATATAGATTTGAATCAGGGAATTAGTATCTGTTGAACGATACAGTATCAATTGAAGAAAAGATTGATGAGCAATTGTGCATTAATGTATAGTTGATATATTAGCATCAAGTAGAAATGATAGAAACTGAAAGTCTGTGAGAGAGGAAGATGAGACTAGAACTTGGTAAAATATGAAGAAGATTTTACTATCTTTGATATTGTGTGGGCACATACGAAGAATGGTAATAGTATGTCTTACAAACACTAATATTTAAGGTGAATGTGATCAAGAAAATAAAGAGGAAACAGAAAAGGGAAAAGAATGGCAAGGGAATATTATCTGCATAAAAGATGAGTAAATACAGACGCAGTGGTCCCTCGGTTAACGAACACAATTCGTTCCACCGAGTCGTTCGTTAACCGAATCCATTGTTTCAATGGGATATTGGGTAATTGGTTCCAGCCCACAGAAAAGTACATACAAAGTATGAACAAAATGCAGTAAAGTACACTTACTTTGAGGTGTGTATGTAGAATGTTGCTGGTTGATGATGATGATGGGAATTAGAAGTGGTGGGAGGAGGAGAAGGGAGAAGAGAAGGAAGTGGGGGTGGAGGCAAAATTGCCTTTCTTTGGACCCATGCTTAATGCAGTAATTTCACCAATAAAATTTTAAGTTCACTAGCTGTAATTAAAGATTATATTATTTAAATCAACACTGCACTGTGTTATATAACTGTATTATCAAAATGTTAACTAAATTTCAGAATGACCAATAATTTTAATGTAAAAACGTAAAAATACTCTGTATTCAAGAGAGCGACGAACACGATGTTTCCTCCATTGTAAACAAAGTTAAACTGACGCTTTAGCGGGTGAGTCAAGCGGCTGATGGGCGCACAAAAAACTATTTACCTATACTGCATATATTATCAATATGTTAACTAAATTTTAAAATGACTAATAATTTTAATATAAACAATGCAAAAATATTAAAGAGCACAACCTTCTTGATATTTACTCCACCGGAAACGAATGTAAACATAGAACCGATTACTGTATTGGCGGACTAGTCGATAAGCTGACGCGCACAACAAAACGTGTTTGTCGTAAGGATTTCGTTAATCGAAGTTTTGTTCGTTAACCGAATTGAAGATCCTTATGGGAGCTAATTCGTTAACCGAAATTTCGTTAATTGAACCGTTCGTTAACCGAGGGACCACTGTAGATCAGTGGAAAATGTGTGAAGACCTTGAGTCTGAAGATCATATTCAATTGCCACAAATGGTTGAGTGGTTTCAGTTCTAGGTGAGTGAAATACTGCAACATACTATAAATAATCTGATATGAATGATCCTGATCCATCCCAGGATTTGTTTTTAATTACAATGTTTTCACACAAAAGCTGTTCAGAATGGTGAACAGCCAAATTAAAGGAAGTTTGGTGCTGTACCTCAGTTTACAGCTGTTACTATTTACTGAAAATCCAGTGTAGTGGTAGATTAGCACCGCACTGTAATAGCAAATACAGTACTGTACTTTAACCTCTTCCTTACCCTGCTGTAATTGAGTAACAACATATTTAATATGAAAAATTGAATGAATATTATTATAATTTAGAGAATACCGTACAGTAATATTGGTAATAACATATTGCAATGGTTTTACAATACAGTATGGGTACAGGTATATGTATTTTATAGTGGGAAAATATAGTGATCAAATACCAGTATCTGTAGTAACATGAGAGATACCTTGGCATTTTAAACAATAAATTATGACAATTATACTGTACGTCAGGGGCACTGTCAATACAGTATACAAGTACAGTACAGTAAAGTGAAGTAAAGCAACTGTATAGTAAAAAAAATATAATCATCTAGGTAAATTGATCATGAGATAGTGAAACCTCTAATAAAATGAGCATATAATAAGGATGAAATGTATGTGTAAGAGCAATAGAAAAGAGCCAAGATGACATGTTAAGTATACAGTACTGTATATCTAAAATTTTATTGTGATGGATCTCAGAAAATTCACATTGTTTCTGTTGGAAATATTTTTCGTGCAAATAATATACCTGTACTTAGATTTTCCTGTTATTTTAGAACAAATAATATACAGTACTCGGTATGGTTGGTAAAAGTACAGGTATCCCTCGATATACGAATGGGTTAGGTTCCCCTAAAAAATCCTTTCAATGAATTTTTGTATCTCTAATAACTGAACAAATGGAAAAAATAGAGTTCAGTTCCCAAAGACAAAAGTACCCCAATATCATACCCCCCCAAAAAAAACAAGAAATCAGTTCACAAATGAGAAAAAATCTACTTAACTATTGATAAGTAATAATCACATGTACTGTAAGTTACTACCTAAGGAAAAGCTAAATCATACTTTAACACAGCCACCAGTGGTGCCATTTGCAAAGATGCTGGCTGCTTCACATGTGGCTGCCATCAAGCATCGCCATAGCAACGCAGCCTTGCTCTCACACACTACGAAATGTTTAATCCCTTTATGGTTTTGACCTTATGATAGTTATTTCTTTTACTCTTTTTGCACACTGTATGTGTGCGTGTAACTGAATGAAAAAATATACCCCAAATTACAAGTTGAAAATTTACTATAACTCCTACTTCACCCTGGTAGGGTGAACATTGGGGGGATGTGGTCACCCATATGACTCCCAGGGGAGTGCAGGATTGGAATTTTTGCTAGGACCCAAATTCGTATAAGTGGGGGAAACTTTGTAACATGAAAACAAGGTGGTAATTTAGGAAATTTGTATCAGCAAATTTTTGTATATCAAGGTATACTTGTATCAGCATGCTGATTTTGCAAAATAAGTACAGTATTGAAATTTAAATTGGTGTTCTGTTGCATTGTTTTGTAATGACATTATTGTACCTGGGAAAAAAATTTACTTTTAATTTTAATAAGCTTGATTGTGAATTAGTGTACAGGGAATCCTCGGGTTATGAACGGGTTCCGTTCCTGAGGACGTTCTTAAATAAAAAATGTGCATAAGTCGAAACATGCTATGTGCATACCATACTTACAGAACAATGTTTAAAATCCCACTATATCATAGCCTGAGTCTTTATATACAGAGTACATCTAAAATCACTTAATTGGAGAGAAAAGAAGATATAGAATGACAAAAGACAGTAAATGAAAGGAAAAAAATAAGTCGTCGGGTAAATAAAATACTGTAAATTTCAAGTTTAACCTCGTTCATATCGGCGGACGTTTGTAAGTTAGGGACCCCTGTACTAATAATAAATATGATTTTTTTTTTTTTTAAACATTTAGTGAAGGTTGATGCTACATACAGTACACAGCAGGTGCAAGGTGTATAACAGAAAAAATCTTTCATATACAGTGAACCCTCGCTTTACGCGATTTCACTTTACGCGTTTCTACATTGACGCGGTACCCTGCCAGAACCGGAATTCCCACTTTACGCGGTGCATCTACTCATATACGCGGGTGAAGTATAATTTTTTTTATTTAGCTCATAAAATTCATACAAATTATCCGGCCAGAATATAATTTACATTGCTGGAATTCTTACAATTTGATGATCATTTTGAATATAAGCATCATAGATTTTGCATTAGACATACAAATTTTAGATCTAATGCAAGTATTTTGTTTACTCAGAGCAAATATGTTATCTTTTGTGCAAAATATATGAAGTGTATATTCAAAATATTCCTGGTCTTGCAAGGAATCCAGCAATGTCAATTATATTATCCTAACTTTAGTCTGAGGTATTATTTATTACTAAAAATGTAAATATACTGTTATAACCCAATCATTTCTCTGGTAGGGAGGGAAGGTGGGGGTGAGGGGTAGGGAGGGAGGGAGGGACCCAGGGAGCAGGTGGGAAGAGGGGGGGAGGTGGGGTATTTTGATTGACAGATAGTATTTTGGTAAGTATATTTTGTTTATTTATTGAAGATATTTGTTTTAGCTCATAAAATTCATACAAATTACCGGGCCAGAATATAATTTACATTGCTGGAATTCTTACAATTTGATGATCATTTTGAATATAAACATCATAGATTTTGCATTAGACATACAAATTTTAGATCTACTTTAAGTATTTTGTTTACTCTGAGTAAATATGTTATCTTTTGTGCAAAATATATGACATTTATATTCAAAATATTCCTGGTCTTACAAGGAATCCAGTAATGTCAATTATATTATCCTAACTTTAGTTTGAGGTATTATTTATTACTAAAAAGGTAAATATTCTGGTTTTCCCACACATCTGGTAGGGAGGTTGGTGGGGGGGAGGGGGACCGACCGACCATCTGTTACTGTGTGAAGAATATTTTTTTTTTTTATTAACTGAAGATATTTGTTTTAGCTCATAAAATTCATACAAATTACCCGGTCAGAATATAATTTACATTGCTGGAATTCTTATAATTTGATGATCATTTTGAATATAAACATCATAGATTTTGCATTAGACATACAAATTTTAGATATAATGTTTACTCTGAGTAAATATGTTATCTTTTGTGCAAAATATATGACATTTATATTCAAAATATTCCTGGTCTTACAAGGAATCCAGCAATGTCAATTATATTATCCTAACTTTAATCTGAGGTATTATTTAATACTAAATGTTAAAATTTAGTTTTTCACCCAACATCTCTTGAAGGGAGGATTGGTGGGGGGTGGGGTGGAGGGTTGGGACGGACCACGCGGTTGGAAGAGGGGGGGAGGCAAGGTGAGGTACTTTGGTTGACAGATAGTGTCCTGAAGAATATTTTTTTTTTATTAATTGAAGATATTTGTTTTAGCTCATAAAATTCATACAAATTTCCCTGCCAGAATATAATTTACATTGCTGGAATTCTTACAATTTGATGATCATTTTGAATATAAACATCATAGGTTTTGCATTAGACATACAAATTTTAGATATAATGTTTACTCTGAGTAAATATGTTATCTTTTGTGCAAAATATATGACATTTATATTAAAAATATTCCTGGTCTTACAAGGAATCCAGCAATGTCAATTATATTATCCTAACTTTAGTTTGAGGTATTATTTATTAAAATTTAATGGTTTCCCCCCAAAATTTCTCAGAGAGGGAAGAGCCAGGGAGTGTAGTGTGAGAAGAGGGGGAGTGGAGTTGAGTCCATTATTTGAATGGACATTAACTTGGCGACTGTATTTCTCTATTTCTCTTAAGTATTAATTGTGTGCATGTACCATCATAAAATTATGATGTTATTTTTACTAGAACATAGGTATTGTGTCGGAAAAAGTAGAGTTTGGGGGTCTGGCCAGTCTCTATTGGAATTAATCCCATATGTTCTGTTGTTCACTTAACGCGGTTTTCACTTCACTTAACCCAGTACCCTGTGGGTTCAATTGACCGCGTTGAGCGGGATACTACTGTATATATATATATATATATATATATATATATATATATATATATATAT